AAAATTCATTAAATTCTATACCTGAAATCAATTAAGAAACTCAATTTAATATTGAAGGGTGAAATAAAAAAATAATATTAAAAACTTGCTAAGGTTAAAAAATAGCAATAAAGATAACATGGATGAAATTATAATTTTTTAAATAAATTATAAAATAAATAGTTATCAAAAAAACAATGACCAAATCTAAAACAAAAAAAATTATGGAGGATGAAATAAAAAAAAATCAATTCTATAAATTAATTTAAATTAAAAAAACAAGAATTGGATTATAATAAAAACAAAATTGAAGAGCAGATATGAAATATTGTCAGGGAAGGCACAAAAAACAATGAAGAAAGAGAAAAAAAGACAATCATTATCAAACCACTCATAATTAATTGTTTTTATAAATTAAAAGAAATTAATTTTTTATTTCTGTCAGTCACTACATGCGTCATTCAAAGACGATAAAGAGACTTATTTATTAGTGTGTTTCGCAAACACAAACTAACTTTTTGTTAATTAAATTATGAAATCACCTTTATAAGTATTGAAAAAAATAAAAAATGTGAAATCTAAAACATGCCCCCACACTGAAACATAAGATTTTTTTTGATATTGCAAGGGAATTAGACTAGTTACATTAAGCATGGTTAGTGAAAATTCATATAAAGCCCTTGGACCAAATTTATTATTATTTTTTATTTTAAGATAACCAAGTAGTTGCACCGCTGTAAAAAAAAGTAAAAAGATTGAGATACCTTCCGAACCAATCTAAAATAACAATTGAACCTAGCAAAAAGACAATTTTACCTTTGGAAAACAATCTTAAGAATCTTTTTTTAAAAGACAAAAATGCCAATTTACTATTATAATTCAATCGCAGAAGAAGGTATCACCAAAATACTCGTATAAGTCCCTCCTTCCCTAGATACAGCGCGCGCCTAAAGGAAGAAACAACGTAGAGGAAGTGATTGAACCCAGGGTGAGCGCTGTTAATGACACTGCAAGCTAAATAACACGCGAAAAGAGCAGCGAGAATTCAAAACCCAGGCCAAAGAGTAATAATATGACGATCCACAGTACAAAATTGATTTTAAATGCAGGTTAACAAAAGGTGATATATAAGTTTTAAAAAGAAGAAAAACAACAAATTAACTCGAACCAATCTCTTAAATTTAGGTTAATTTTTCAAATTCAAAATTCATTAAATTCTATACCTGAAATCAATTAAGAAACTCAATTTAATATTGAAGGGTGAAATAAAAAAATATTATTAAAAACTTGCTAAGGTTAAAAAATAGCAATAAAGATAACAGGGATGAAATTATAATTTTTTTAATAAATTATAAAATAAAATAAATAGCTATCAAAAGAATAGTGATCAAATCTAAAACAAAAAAAATTATGAAAGATGAAATCAAAAAGAAAAATTCAATTCTATAAATTAATTTAAATTAAAAAAAATAAGAACCAGATTATAATAAAAACAAAATTGAAGAGCAGATATGAAATGTTGTCAGGAAGGCACAAAAAACAATGAAGAAAGAGAAAAAAAGACAATCATTATCAAACCACTCATAATTAATTGTTTTTATAAATTAAAAAAATTAATTTTTTATTTTTGTCAGTCACTACATGTGTCATTCAAAGACGATAAAGAGACTCATTTGTTAGCGTGTTTCACAAACACAAACTAACTTTTTATTAATTAAATTATGAAATCACCTTTATAAGTATTGAAAAAAATAAAAAATGTGAAATCTAAAACATGCCCCCACACTGAAACATAAGATTTTTTTTGATATTGCAAGGGAATTAGACTAGTTACATTAAGCATGGTTAGTGAAAATTCATATAAAGCCCTTGGACCAAATTTATTATTATTTTTTATTTTAAGATAACCAAGTAGTTGCACCGCTGTAAAAAAAAGTAAAAAGATTGAGATACCTTCCGAACCAATCTAAAATAACAATTGAACCTAGCAAAAAGACAATTTTATCTCTGGAAAACAATCTTAGGAATCTTTTTTTAAAAGACAAAAATGCAAATTTACTATTATAATTCAATCGCAGAAGAAGGCATCACCAAAATACTCGTATAAGTCCCTCCTTCCCTAGATACAGCGCGCGCCTACAGGAAGAAACAACATAGAGGAAGTGATTGAACGAACCCAGGGTGATTTTAAATGCAGGTTAACAAAAGGTGGTGGTCCAGTTTTATCAGCCCATTAGACCATATGAGCCTACGTGACAGCAGCCTGTTATCCTTCCACTGCCAGGAGCGGGAGGTTGTCGCTGCTCTGTGAAACCAGCCTCACGCATTGCCCCCGCAGCTTGAGACTTGGTGACTAAACAAGTTGTCTTTTTCTTTGTTGTTCTTGTTTTATTTTCCATAGACATGGACACTTCTTTTCTCAGATTGCAGATCGCTTTGTCATTTGAATGGATATGTGTATACATGGCAGGATACATCCAGATCTTGTTCAAATTTACACCCCGAGTAAGAGAAGTTGAGATGCTTGAAAAAAATTTCAATGAATTCATTAAAAACCAGGAAAGTAAAAGGTAAGACAGAACTCGGCAGCAATTAGTGTAATGCAAATCAAGATGAATGCTTCCCGTTTGGTAAACAAGTTAATTAGCATGTCATTTTATTAAATAAGGAATAAATTCCAGTTCTCTAGATGCGAAGGTGTCCGTGGAGCTCAGGCACATGATTGGCTGGCTGTTGTGTTTGCAAATGCTAGCATCTTGTATCGTTGAATTAAGCAGCCAAAGACATAAATTCCAAACCAGATCTTTATGTTGTTTTCCTTGCACTTCTGAGTAACTCATTAGTTTCTAAGAGCTTATTGGTGGCGTTTAATATTGTGGCTGTTAAGCCACCAGAATAGCAGTGCTTTAGTACTACCTGTGTGAGCAAGCTCCAAGTAGTGGTACTATGACTACTAATACGGTGGCTTTCATGCAGACCAAATGATAACTTTCAGTGTTGTTAGGTTAGGTTGCTAGATATTAAGGGTTGATTGACAATTGGACGGATGCTTTTCAGACACAACAGCAGCCAGTTCTACAATATCCAGTCAAGAACAGGCAAGCATAAGAGGAAATACATGGCCCTAGCAGGCCCGAGCGACTACATCCTTAATTTTTTTTTGTTTGCAACTGTCCCAAGAAAAAACCAACAACTCTTAACAAATATCCACACTTCACTAGTAACTATCTACCATCATCATGTCATCGCTTTCAGTTCGTTTTCTTACACCACCATTGTCACACGCAGCTCCAAGCTCCTCTGCAAGACCAAGACTCTTCGCTGGACCCCCCACAGTGGCTCAGCCAGTGGATGAAGGGAGGTTGGAACCAAGAGTGGATGAGAGGGATGGATACTATGTGTTGAAAGAGAAGTTTTGACAAGGGATTAATCCTCAAGAGAAAGTGAAGATAAAGACATAGCCAATGAAGCTTTTCATGGAAAATGGGATTGAGGAGCTAGCTAAGTTGTCGATGGAAGAGATTGACAAAGAGAAGAGCAGTAGAGATGATATTGATGTTAGATTCAAGTGGCTTGGTCTCCTTCACAGAAGGAAGCATCGACGTAAGCATTAACTTGTCAAGTTTTAGTAGATTCTTTGAAAGTATATTTCATTTAACTGTCCATAATCCATTTTGCATCTAAATGCTTTGAAGATTACTAGATCAGTTCCTTGCTGTAAATTGTTTTTAATGATCAGATGGTAGATTTATGATCAGATTGAAGTTACCAGATGGGGTAACAACAAGTGCACAAATAACAAGATACCTGGCGAGTGTGATAAGGAAATATGGGAAAGATGGTTGGGCAGATGTGACAACTAGACAAAACTAGCAAATCCGTGGTGTGTGTTGCCTGATGTGCCAGAAATACTAAAGAGTCTTGCAGAAGTTGGCTTGACAGGTCTGCAGAGTGGCATGGACAACGTTAGAAACCCTGTGGGGAATCCTCTTGCTAGGATTGATCCAGATGAGATGGTTGATACCGGGCCTTTATACCAACTTGCTGTCTCAATTTATCACTTCCAATTCTCGTGGCAATCCTGCTTTCACTAACTTGGAATTTTCCTCACTTCTATATTAATGTGATAAATGCGGAGTTATTTTCAGTGACCTTTGTTAGGATGCTGGCATTCAAACCCGACAAGATAAAAGATAAGAGACCGGATAAAATGAGAAATGGAACACACAAGAATTTACGTGGGTCACCCAATTGGGCTACGTCCACAGACAAGTATAGAAAGATTTTACTAAGTAATGTGGGAATTACAACCTCTCTCTAATAATAGGAGAACAACTAAGAATCTCTCTATTATTAGGAGAAAACACCTCACTTACTCTATCACAAATACCTCACAATTTTGTGGGATTACTCTCTCTTCACTCTCTTCTTCTTCTCTC